GGCCAGTAGGTGGTAGAGCTCAAATTAGACCCTGGTTTCCAAGTCCATAAACCTAAGCTTCTTTCAGTGGAGCCACTCTGCCCCAGGGCATTTGCAAGTGAACATTTCTTAAAGTTTCTAAGACTTTCACCGAAGAATAATTGGGGGAAAAACAGTGATCTTCTTATGTGTTAAACAACATATTTTAAGACTTCCGCTCAGCATATTATAGGTAATATGTTTTAGACATTATACACAAATAAGGTCACACAGATAATAGGATTCTAGAATTGAGGAACCTGAGACAGCTCTAATCTATTCCTGAGCTTTCATAGTTGATCAAAGAATCATTTTCTTTCATTTGTTTACTCAACAAAGTGCTAGTGAGGACTCTCTAAGCAGAGGACATTTTTTCAAGAGAAGAGTGTCACAAAGGAAAGCACTTTGGCTGGGAGTCGGGAGGACAGAAATTGGAGTTTCAGAGCGTCACTAACCAGCCTGAGGAAGGGTCCTCTTCGGTCTCTCTGAGCCTCTGTTCCCGCCTTTATAAAACGGGGATATCAAATGAGGAAGCAGATTTAAGAGTTGAGCAACGTTAGGTGGTATTAGGATTTGTCTACAAAGCAATTCACAGGGGGCTCTAAAGATTTCATTATGACATTGAGACAGATAAACTTGTTCAAAGACTTGGTTGGGCAGAGAGCTAAGTTATGAATCAGATCCTGTCCCGCCCAATAACGAAACGGTCAGAGCTTCAGAAGGGAAGCAGAAAGCAAGCGGCATGAATAATTCATACACCGCATATTTCATCTGCGACAATGAACAACTTGTTTATGGTCAATGCTTTTAACGTTCATAGTCTTTTAAAAGCCATTATGTCATTTAATCTCCGGGGCAAATCATTTTCTTCCGATTTTACAGAAAAGGACAGCAGAGTGTATTAGAAACAAGCCTAGGAGCCCATAGCTCATTTCTCACAGATCCGGAACTATCATGACGTAAAGAGTCGCGAGCATTTATTAAACGTTTATCTGTGCCAAGGGCGGTACCAATGGTTTTATACGTATCTGGTCCTCCCGGCAGCCCTATGGAGAAGGGAGTATGACTGCCCTCGTTTTACAGATTGGGAAACTGAAGCTTAACGTGATAAAGTAACATAAGCAAAGTCTGATAGGTAAAGAGTAGCAGAGCTCAAAATGAACTGGATCGGACTTAACACCCTGTCCACTACCCCCCTGCCAGGCAGCCACACCTCTTCTCTCTTAGTTGAAGGTTCTTTGCTTAAATGTAAGTACATCTATTTTTATTTAGTGTCAACAGAGTTGAATGATCTTGTAATGCTTCCATTGGCTAAGAGTTTTCAAAATGGCGACTACCTATCCAGTAATGTTTATTTTAATGAGAGCTTGATTCTGATAGACCTTAGAAATCTGATGAGAGGAGACTCAGGAAACAAGAATACAGTAAAATTACTGGGGCTATCACCCAACAAAAGGTTGATGTTGGTAACATCAGATTCCTTTGCATTGTCTAAAACACTCTTTAAGCCAAACCGACTCATTTACTCATCAGATACTTTGAGGATGCCCACTGCCTGTAAAGGCAACACGATAAGAACTGGGAAAACTGTAAAGCCCTTGTTTCAAAATACAAGGTAAAAAGAATAATGCTCTAGAAGAAAAGGCGAGATTATAGGACCATGGGGTTCCCAGGAAGGAAGTTGCCTTCAGCTGCGGGAACCGGGAAGAGCCCCGTGCAGAGGAACATGCATTTATTACAACTCAAGACACTTCCCACAAGGCAAACCCTCGGCAGAATCGAAATCAGTCACTTTTCTGAATTCCTGTTGTCCTGGAGGTCTGAGCTCCTGGATTATAATTTAAATTTTCTAGGTATTTTATAGATTGGTTAAAGGTACCTCAAAGACAAAACCTTTTATATTCTTATTTATT